TACCGGTTAGGAATGTTGCTTCGTTCGTTTCCTTTGTGAATTCAGACATTTTCCACTAAAATAATAAAATTGATTATTCAAACATCACCTGAACATTTATTTTCGTTTCTGGCCTAGTCGGAGATTGTTTGCTTCCCAGAGTAGATTTAAGGTATCGTATCACTGTACTTATTCTACTGTACCCAACAAACATTCAAAGCTGAATAAGAGCTTAAAACTTCAACTCTTAATCAGTTCCAATAGTTTGTTGGGTATCTCTTACCCACTATGATTTCTTCAGATAAACAACCAGAAATGTTCCCAATATAATGAAATGCTCCAAGTGACATGAAAGTGGTAGCTTGCACCAGCAATGACATTATAATAAACCAGAAAGAAGAAAGAGACAAAAGTGCAACCTTGACACCAAACATTGTTTTATAGAAATGTTCCATGTGATTGACCTTTCACAGACTCGAAATCAAAACATCAAAGACAACAGATTGCATGCACCTATCGTTTTTGTTTTCACGAACCACGGTCGGCCACATCTGCAATGATCGTTTAAACTTTTTTCATAATTATTTGGAATTTTTTTGCATCGATAGCTTTGAAGACGCCTTCGCTTTGGCCTTGGTAAATTTTACGTAACTATTTACTGAACCGCAGCAGTATTGCAGCCGACTGTGATTCGACGGTCAAATATGTGATCTGTGGAATGATCATCTATGTTGCTCTTCAACTAATTTCTGTCTTGATGATCCATGATTCAACATCATACCTTACGTGTACGGGTTCTGTGAGCAATCGAATCGATCATTCATTTATTTTCCTTTTCACTTCACACACAATTTCGCTGCACTTCTATCGAATTATTTTGCTTCTGATAAATGATCCAATCGTTTTGAAAATGATGAGCATACGAAATGAACAATAATTATCACTTGAGAATGAGGTTAAAATAAAGTGGAGTTGATGAAAATTGAGGATGAATGGGTGTATTACTAAATTTCTTGTGTTTAGACAGCTCTGGCATAGAGGTGCGAAACAATTAATTGGAAACAGGAATAGGTTTAAATTCTAAGTAACAACACACCAAAACAAATGACATCATCAAATGTAAGTGTCGATTTCATACAGGATGAGGAGCTTAGAATTATGTCATAAGCAATGTATAAGATAAATCAAATATCACGTGACGTACTTAATGCATGCAGTTCTTACAATGAACGTACAAACAAGTTTTTCCAGAATGAATATTTTCGTAAAAAAAATTCACGAGGAAATTTTCTAGCAGCAGTGGTTTTTACGAAACAAACTTGGTTTGAAAATTAGATTTTAATTAAATTAATTAGAAATTAAATAACAGAAAAATTACACTATTATTTTAAAAATCATCCGTCTATCATATTACAGAATCTGTTAATGTGGTGAAAAATTACAAATTCTGCAACTTTCTATGCAAATTTGTAATAGAATTTTACATTTCCTAGTAGGGTGTACATCTGTATTGTACCATTAATAACGAAAAAAAAAAAAAAAAAAAACTGTGAAGTGTCGATTAATTAACGTATTCCGAGTGAATATATTTTTCAAACAACACTGTGAAACAAAAAATGACAATATTATCTATATTTGGAGTCAAAACTGTATGCATAGACAAAAAAAATGTATTTTATTTTCAAAATATCAATATTTCCACTATGACATGAGCCGTGATTGGGACTCTTCGTTACATATATTAATATGTCTGTATGCTGTACCAATTTAACAAGCAATATTCAATTATTGACATCTAAATTCTAGGAATCTTAAAAATTAATCAATTAACAGAAAATTTATATGTTGTGAAATGGAGGGTTGCTAGAATAATTCGGCATTTATAAAACCGTCACCAGTTGAAAGCAGAGGCTTTTATTATTAATTATTGAACTACAACAATTTTTTTCTTCATTGGGGTGGTTTTTCATACAAGATATGAATCTGCGTTGCAAGGTGGCCATTTTAAAATTCTCGGTTCTACCGGTTCAAATCTCAAAATTATTCCTGTTATCAACAACAAATGACAGTATTTAATGATTATTTTTTTCAAAGAAACGTGACTAAGTGCAAACATATGTTCTTGTTATTTGTAAAAATAAATACTTATCACCGGGTAAAACAAAGTAGCGTCTGAACGTTACACATAATAATTTAGAAGTTTAAAGATTAGAAATTTGAAATGTTATTGAAAATTCGTAGGCAAATCATATAAAAATTACTAAGGTGTTTCAAGAACGATTGCAAAATATTGAAAAGATTTATATTCAAACTTTACTAAGGTTTGAAAGTTCTGCTACATACATTTTCGAATGAATCTTTAGAGATTTCGAAGGTTCATGCAAACATTCCTAAACAATACGCAATTCAAAATTTCGTAGCTCAGGGCGTCTTACTCATTATGCTAATTCAAATTCCTTTAGTTAGCCAGGGTTTTCCAGGACTTCAACGGAAAATGTTCAGGTTTTCAAAGAAACCTTTATTGAAAATACGTTAAAAATATGCTATTGGAATATTTCTGTTAGTTATAAATATTGAAAGCTTCTCATGGTCCAGAATCTTCTCAAATTTTATAAGCCCTGAATGAAAAAAAAACTTCTATAATCTTGAAGATTTTTCTTAATCAAGAGAACTTTTTTAAGCAAGAGAAATCAAATTAAAAATCATGTCAAAGACTTAAAATTTAGATTTTTTTTAGAATCTTTTCAAGAATTTCTGTAAATAATAATTTTTAATTTTTCTTTGGAATCTTCTCAAAAATTTCTGTAAATAATAGAAGGATCTTTGATTCACTCTGCAATTCCCTTAAAATTTTAAATAGGGTTCCCTGTATTACCCTCTAAATTCCACTCAGAATTCTCTAGGAGCTATTCCGTAAATTCTTGGAAATGCTCCGCAGAATTCCCTAGCAATCAAAGGGCAATCTGTAAATGATAACAAGAATCGCTTTAGAACTCTCCTTTAACATCGAAACTTTGTTGGAAATTTGCTTGAAATTTTTTGCATCTTTTCAGAATTCTCTTTGGATTCTCCTTCTTCTCTTGGAAATCTACTCACAAGTACCTTGGAGTTCTCCTTGCAAATTTACTCTTGGGTCATTCGTGGCTTTGGCGTGAGAGGTATGATTGTTAACCACTACGCCGAAACCGTCCCCAAAAATTTAGGCAAGAAGAGTTCACGTCTTTAATAATTGTGGTGTAGTAGTAAGACGATGGGCTATGAAGGAATAGCACCCGACCAAGCATCCTTGCATGAATGAACGGGAAAACCAGTTTGATTCAGACACTTTTCGAAATAAATTTTGAAGTTTGTACAACCGGTTGTCACGAAAGTTTGGCCGCAAATTTTTACTTTGATGTAATAGGTAGACGCTGATGAAAGTTGATTGCAGTGGGTTACCGACATCCAATATTTGTTGAATGCCATTGCACGATGAATCCAGCTAAATTTACTCGTACATTCGTTGTTGCACACGAAAGACAGAAAGCAGTATTTTTCAAGGGTGTTCGCATTTAACTTTATATTTCGATGATCGAAAAAGCTGTATGTACGCGGGGTCGATCAATGTTTGCGGTGTACATTACGTAATAAGCGATCCTATATGATCATTGGGTATTTTTGGTTTGGGTAGAATCTGAATGAATTTTTGTTCTGGTTTAAATTATTTCTCAAATTTTAGTTATGCTCGGCGAATTAACTTTTTCACACGATTTCGTTAAACATGTTATCGGTTTATCTTCAATGATCAAACTGAAAAATGCTTTTCTGAAATTTTACACTATTACTTTATAAAAAATTATGTTTTTCGAAGTTTGAATCTGACAATATTTTTTTATATTCCTTTCGTTAAAAATTAGGATGGTGTTTCAGTTATTTTCGTTAAAACCGTACATTTTAAAAATAGTCAGTAAGTTAGTTTCACATAAAAAAGTATAGGCTAAATTAACAACTGGGGAAGTGCTCAAAGATTAGGGTAGGTGTAAAGTTTCACCTAGGACGTAAAGGCCGAGAAGAAAAATGTACAGATTGTGTTTTCTAGTTGAATGTGATTATAATCGATGACTCACAATATACATTACCATACCAGGCACTATTCAGATTGTAATAAAATAAGTCAGCATTTTGCAAAGAGGCCAAAAATATTTTTTTTATAAACTGGAAGATTCCTGTTAGATATAACGGAAAGCAAAAAAAAACTGTGTTTAAATATTACACCGTTGAACAGTTTATTATTTATATCTATATTAGTTAGCATTGAAGTTACTAAGGATTTCAAGACATTATCCATTGTAGAGAATCAAATTAGTTCAGCTGGTTGTGATTCTTCAAAACAGGTTTCAAGGCTACTTTACCAAAGCAAAGCACCTACCGATGAAGAACCGGTACTCATGTTGAGCACAGTAACGCAATCGGAGAAATTTTCCAAAAGAAAGTGAAAATAAGGTCAACCCTTGGCCGTCCTTACGTCCGTGTCCGATAATAATGTAAGTTGTTTATCCTTCTGCACAGGCGAGAAATTTCACCTTTAGTGCGAAATTGATGTAAACCACCGTCTCGCCATGATGAAAACAGAAACTCGATTATGTCCAAAGTCAAGACGGATGGAAGAAAACAAATAAACGTAATATGGGCTGTGTTGACTGTTTTGAAAATGAAACTAAATGTGCATTCAATTTAAGAAGTAGGTACAAAACTCAACTGTGTTAAAGGTTGCCGATTAGGACAACTGAATCAACAAAAGTCTATGGAAACACATCGAAACAGAGACGTTGCTCATCTCTGTCGAAGCAAAGGGAGCACGAAAACGCGTTCGGTACAGTTAATTTGTTGCCAAATTTTAGTCTCATGGTTTTGGTATGCACATATGGAGCTTACCATGTACCAAGATTAAATCAGCGACCAACAAAAGGTTTGACCATTCGACAGAGCGTCTTGAATTTTTCACAGCACTCACCATGGCTGCTTTCCAACCGCGCTTATGTCTTTAGTATTTATCAAAAGAGAGCCGGGTCCACATGCGCGCCGCAGTATCTCCACTTACATTGACAAAGCTTGGAGGTCGAACCGTTTCATGAATCGTTCGCCACTGAGCTCGGGGTTCGCCGTTTGGTAGAAACAGTGCGGAGCTTTATTTGGATAGGCGCAATTGGTGAAAGAAGTCGCGTGCGATCCGCGCCATAATTTTAGACACACTTTTTTGTAGTTCTTGACGCACGTTGGCTTACGAGTGTAAAGTGTTTTACGGCTCTCCATTAGAATCTATGTTTTGTGTACTTAGTACTGTAAGAGTGCATTAAGTAGAACCAAGTGTTATAAAACGAATCTACAACCGCAGCACAGGTTTCAATTCGTGATCACGCGTTGCCAAAGAAGAGCCAGGTGTTAATTTTGCTGATAGTGCTACTAGGAACTTTAATCGGTCCAAAATGGATTACCTGCAGCAAATGAATCTAACCGACTTTACGTTGTACGACCTCATAAATGTAAAAGGCGTAGGTGAGTATCGTTTTTGATATAAAGTATAAATACTAAACAGTGCATTTGGAGAAAAGTTTTGACGAGTGATCAATATTAGACCCAGTGAAAAAGTGTCATTTAATGTTAATGAGATGAATCCAATTTCAATGCACCAAGAACAATATGGCTGAATGTGTTTTGTGGAATTATCAACAGTGTCGACAGCCTAATCCCAACTATACCAGTGCCCTAGATATCTTAACTTTAGAACAGTTTAAAAATTTCCTTGAAATGGAAAATCTACGCTGAGCATCAATTATATATTTGTCTTTTCGAACATTTAGGTGTACCGAATGCTTATAATATCGCTTGAAAAGCATCATAGTGTCAGTGTGCATTTGTATAGACTCAGCTCGACGAAATCAATACATGTGTGCGTGTGAGAGAGTGGAATAGAGAAAGAGAGAGAGAGTGTGAGAGAGGGAGCTTTAATAAATTTTATTTAAATCGGGATTTGGTTTCTGAGATATGACCAAAAAGTATATGAATATATCTTGTTTGAAAAATGCAGGAGCATCCTCTACGGGAATTAATCGGGTTTTTAGAATTGTTTTGTTTTTCAATCTATTCTATTGAAAAATGAGACAATGTTTGCATTTACTTATGGCTGGCATTGCAAAGTTAAGTTTAAAGCCTATTTAGTTGTATTTCTGATGTAAATATTTAAAATATAAAAATGTAGAAAATTATTATAGTGCTAAGCATTCAATACTTGGGGAATCTGTTCATTTAAAACTAATTCGCGGTATCGAGCAGTGCATAAAATGCAGATAAATCAGATAGCTTAGTTAGTTATGGCCCGGTGTTATCAAACCGGAGATGGCGGGTTCTATTAACGGCCCGGTCTAGAAAATATTTCGCATTGAATATTTGCTTAACTTCCCTGGGCATAGAGTATCGTTGTTTTTGCCCAGTGTTCGGAAAATCATTCCTTAAACTAATTATTTGACCTAGTGAGAGAATCAACTGGCGTGTGAATATGCAAAACAAATCTCACGTTTGAGATTCTCGTGCATTTTCACAACTCATACTCACAATGCCCAACATTTATACCACTTAAAACTCATAAGAACCGCCCAATCGAATACTGCAATAACAAGACAAATAAAAAGTAATCTCAAGCATGAGATTTGAGTTTTTGAGTATCTTGCCACACATTATGCAAATTCATACGTTGGTTTGCATAGAAAGCTCACAATCTATAACTGTGGAAGTGCTTCAAAGTTAAGAGTTAAAATCGGCCTAAATAAAAAGTTGGAAAATGAATGATAACAGACACATACTTAGAAAATATTACTGAATTCGATAGTTTTGTTTAACAAAATTTTTTATAACAGAAATGATCGGTAAAATTTAGACATATCGATTTATGTGATTTACAGTATCGGAACTTCACAACTTTGGCTGTTGAAAATTAAAATTTGGCGATGAGTGACGATTACGCTTTGCTTCATTTCCCCAACGAGAACGATAGGCCCACTTGGACCTAGATAATATTATTATCTGTACTCATCCTAAATGAGGTCAACATTGAAGAACTGAAAACCGCATAAACACAGAATTTAGTACACCCTAGTACATAGTTATGAGCACCTAATTTTACATTATGTGGATGCACAGCCATTGGAAGTAACCATGTTGTCTAAGGAGCATTGTTAAATACGTTTGATTGTACGATCTCTTACTGGAGGTATCAGATTGCGGAATTTAACGTGTCATCCGAGAGAAATTTGAACAGGAGATTCCACCTACGCTTCATGTTTTCAATCGAAAGGAGAACATATATTATGAAAGGATTAATAACAAGTGCTTCGTATGCAAGATTGAGGGCAACCTGATGGATTCCAGCCTCAAACTGAAGACCAGGAAACAGCCAGAACAGCAACAATAGAACGGAGAACAAAAACTTGATGAAGAAAAACAGCACCAGGGAAAAGAACGTTCGAAAACCTGTAGTTAACCGTTATGTGCGTGACGGGATACCCTGGTACCCAACTCCCATTTAACAAATCATCAGGCACATAACGCACATGATGGCTGGAGATGCATAGTGCAAAAAGTGCTCGAGGAAATGCGATATAAATGGAATATGTGACGATCACAGAGAGTGAAAAATAGTGAGGAGAGAACAAGCGAACACGAAGCCCAGAAACAGCAGCCACTTGTGTTCAGATAACCGAATGACGAGTTGTATACATCAAGTTTGGGATTATGGCAACGGTAATTGGAAAAATAGAAGAGAATGGAAGAAAGGAAATAGTTATGAGAAAAAGCAGGACAACACAATAGATCGCCACCTAGGAAGAATGAGAAGAACTCGTCTTGATGAGTTCAATCCGTCGGGAAAATGTCTGTGTGTATATGTGTGTGTGTCCTTGACGAAATACAGTAAGGTTGTGTTGCACCAAATTGAACGCAACAAGCGCCAATTGGGAGGTACGGTGGTCTCATTGAACGCAATTGAATATTTTTGAAATCGGTCAACTGATCAACATGTTCCGGTGAGGACGACTCTGGAGACTAGAAGTGGATTGAAGCGTACCATACCCATCATGTGACTCCTTAAAATACATGAGAGTTCGAAAATAAGTTCAATAGCGGTCAATTGTGGCCCGTGATTACTTTGGCCACATCAGGATATGATTTGCAAGCCCCCGGGGAAGAGACCAGTATCTGACTTGAGTCGAAACTCATCCTAGTTTATTTAACACGATTCTCACGAAATAACGCGGTACGTTTTCAAAAGCCTCTTGAAAACGGCAAAACTTATCAAACTAATTTCAATCACATTATCCGTTTTTTTTTATTTTAATTTTTTTTTGTGAAAACCCAGAAATTTAAAAAAAAGTGTATTTGGCAAACATTTGAACATATTTTAGAATGTGTACTTAACCAAGCTTTGTTTTTACACGATACGTATCCCCCATGCAAAAAACAAAAGTGTAGTGATTTTTTGATCAAAATAGTCCATTTTTGAGCCTACATTCCTCGAAAAGCGGCAGATAAGAAAACATGCACCTAAAACTTGATGGTAAATACAATAAAATCCCGAAGATTTCATCAGTATCTTGAACCCGGACATGTTTTCCTTGGCTAAAAATTTGCATGAAAATTCAGTACAAACAGGCATTATTTAACTTTTCTTCCCTGAATGCGGACTTGAGCAATTTTATCAGAATTTAATCAAGTAACAAGGGTCATATTTCCCTATTATGATTTTTTAATTGCTGAAAAAGTCGGTTGAATATTAAAAAAAATCGATACGTGTACAGAAATCAACAACATTGGATTATGTTATTGGATATTATTTAATTGGTGTTAACGGGTACTACTCTATAGGATGAGGAGAAATTATCAACCTAAGTAGTCGTAATTTAATTAATTGTACTACAAATATACCTCTTTTAATGTCCACATTTGGCTGTCACACACGCCTTCAACCGTTTAAGTAGGTTGATCAGCGATGGAGATTCGTTCCTCTACAGATATAACATCCCAGGCAACAGTTTATATGTTCATCATTCTAGCGATACATAGTGGAAGATTCTTTTGCTAGTAAAGGTCGATTTCTGCACTACACAATGGTATTGGCTTCATTATGGTACGCCAACGAATTCGAATGAAACATTGCACGTTTGCTTACAATAAGCCAAGGCCCAACTTGGCTCAGGTGTGCTGAATTTAGTATCTGTGCAATACGAGCAGTATCCTGTATTGTTGCCTTTATTGTATTTGTTTTATTTTTTATAATCAAAAAAATACTGAAAAGTTCCGTATTTAAAAAAAATGTGGTAAGGATTACTGGTTTAGCGCGTAGAGAGTGATGAAACTATTCGATTGTGATTCAAAAAAAAAATCAATGGACAAATTTTGTAAATAAACGTATTGAAATATTGATCTATTAAAAATAAGATTTTGAAGATATACCGTACATAAATGAATCAATATCCTTTTATTTAACCGTTTAAAATTTGAATTAGTTGCTAATTCTTAAGTTTATATTTAATTCCAGTGATAAATATTACGGAAGACATTTCAATTTAAACACAGGGCTGCTTCCTACTTTATAAGAATAATCACAAAATGATAGTCATGCAAGCTCATCAGGGGGGTAATTTGTCCGGTTTTTCACCTAGGCCATACAGAAAATCACACGGAAAGTCAGCATTTTTACTGTAGTTTAGGAGGATAATTGCTGCTCAAGTAAAAATTGACATAATATAGCGAGAAGCGAAGCATGTCAGTCATTTATTCGTAACCCGGTTTGCTGCGGTATGTAGTGATTCATAGTGATTCATACGCGAATGACTAATATGAGCGGAATAGTAGTATAATTTAGTCACATACTATCAGAAATTGACCCGGCTTGGTGGTGGCTGAGCTGAAGGACGAAATATTACTATTGCGTACTTTCAAGAAATGGCGTCATTAACATGAAACACAGGTAGAAGAAAGTGCAATGCAATAATTATGTAGATCTTAAATTTTTACAAAAAAGTACACTTATACAACGGATGCTGTAAGAATCAAACAATACATAAACCAGTCACATTTCTAAAATAATATGTTCACAATTTCAAAGGATAAATAATTAAGGTACGATGGCGTTCAAATAAAAAAAAATGTCGATAATACTATTGAGAAATAATGTTCACACGTGGCTGACAATATATTAGTATCTAATTAACAACAGTAGTTGTTAATTGCACACACGCATACGAAAAATGCAGATTATCAATTTGGTTTACACCTTGTACGTATACTAAGATATGTCTTAAAGAAGCTTATTGGAGAGCGCAAAATTATCTAACCCTTTGCCACTGATGATATCATGTAAGAAATGTGTATCGAAGCAGAAGCATGTTGTAAAGTAAAAGATTGTAAATCCACCATGAAGTCATAGTCTGATTGGCTGGAGACGTCACGTTACTGAAAATTTCGGGCTGTCTTTCATCATTCGTCATTTTGCAGACCACTCA